TATAAGGGTGGGAAAGAGTCTGGAGGGGCCATATGAGGAGCACCTGAGGGCACTTGGTGTATTCAGCCTGGAGAAGAGAAGTGAGGGCAGACCTTGTTGAGCTCTTCAACATCCTCCTGAAAGGCAACACAGGGGCAGCTCTGATCTCTTCACTCCTGTGACCAGTGACAGGATTCAAGGAAATATGTGGATCTGAGGGAAGGTTTAGGTTGGATATCAGGGAAAAGATTTTTTACCCAGAGCTTGATCAGGCTCAGGGGACATGGTCACAGCTCCTAATCTGTTTGAGTTCAAGAAGTGTTTGGACAATGCTCTCAGGCACAGAGTGGGATTCTTGGTGCATCCTCCATAGGGCCTGGAGTTGGACTCAATGATCCTGATAGGTCCCTTCCAATTCAGCATGTTCTATGATTCTACAATTCTATGATAAGGACTGTTCAAATACCACCGTGCAGATCTCATCTATCGCTAGTGTCACTGCATGGGTTCGATTACCCAAGGTAAGCAAGGGCTCTAGTTGAGCAAGCCAGCATTTCTTCATGCTGTAAATGAGCCTGAACCTTGCCAGATCAAATGTCATGGGGGCTGCAAGCCCTGGACTCTCTCTAGAAACCACCTTCACCAGGGCCCTGCCAAAGGGAGACAACCTAGCAGCTACAGGGCAAACAGGTCTCTAGAGCCATCCTCAGAGCCTCTGGCTTCTTCTTCTTCTTATGGCATAGCCCTGCTAAGACCTGCCCCACTAGCAGGGGGTTGTACCCACCAGCATCACACTCTCTGGCCCAGAGGAAACAGCTGGAGCTGAGCTGGGGGAAATTTACCCTGGCCACATTCCCCATGCTAGCCTGCACTCTGGCCTCACTGCCAGCTTTGTTCCAGCATAGGCTGCATGCAGGGTTTCAGGACCTCCTCCTGCTGAGGGATTTATTTGTCCCAGCCAAGTTGTCCAGCAGGATATGAGCTGCCTGGGTTGCAGATGACCAGCACACAAACCTCTGCCAAAGGACTGATGTCCTGAGAGAACACGGCTGGCAGCTCAGAGCTGCCCATCCAACTCCCAGGGGCTGTGCAAACCCTCTGTCAGCCTCTCAGCAATTCTGGGTGAGTGAAAAGCCCTCATCTCATCCAGGACATGAAAGAACTGCTTCCAAGTTTTACTGAACACACTCCCACATTGCTGCCCAGGGAAAGGGCCTAACGCCTGTGGAACTGAGGCCCTCAGACACATTGCACCAGTGGCAGCTGCAGAGCACAACGTGTGGTGGAGCAGAGGGCAGGCTGAGTGTGAGCAGCAGAGGGGTTCTGTAATCAAGACTTTTCCCAGCCCTTCCCAGCACATTAGAGGGAATATGGGAGCCCCGGCCAGAGGTGAGGGGCGGCTGATGAATGAGGTGATAACTCCTCAGCAGATGGTTCCAAAGGCTGCACCACACTTGGGGGACAAAGACAAAACACAGAGGTGAAGCCCAGATGTTTAATTTCAGCATCTGGATGTGATTCCTAAACAGAGACACTCACATCTGACTGTTCTGCCTGAAAATAAATGGTTTGTTTGACCTTCCCCTTAGCCCGCCCCAATATTTTCTGTGTCTCTCCTAAACACACAGCTAGGACCAGCCATGTGCCAGACAAGTGCTGCAGGCATCACTGTTGGCACAGCAGCTGTGTGGATGCAAGGGATGCAGCATCAGGGGATGCAGGGCAGGGCACAGCACAGACCAGAGCCACCAGCCTGGAGGGAAGAAGAACATCCCTCTGCACTGCTGCTACCCTGTTTTGGGCTCCAATTCAGCACATTTCAGAGCAGGACACCAACCCTGGGTGTCCACTCTGCCCAAAAGCCTGCTCACAGCCTCCACCCTGCCAGGTATCTGCTCCTGCCCCAAAAAGTTCCATGGGAGTAGAGAAGGATGGGGCTATAGAGGAGGACTGATCTGCAGGCATGTCCTCCTACCTTCAATCCCCGAGATCCCCACCTGAGATGCACCTGAGCAGCCTGGCTGTCTGAGCATCCCCTTGGCTCACCCAGGCACCCCAGGACTCAGCACAGCCTGGGTCTCATTTCACCACAGAAGCCACAGCATCCCATCACCCACAGCATGGACTGGTAGCAGGTGCTCCCAAAGCCAAGAAGGGACAAAGCTGCTCAATGCCTCAGGAGCACTGGAAGAACCTGCTCAGGGATCCAGGTCTCCAGGATGTGTTGAAACCAAACAGTGCCCTTCAAAAAAGATACCTCATCTTGGATCAGAGATGCCATGCACTGGAGAATCCACCACACTCCTAATATATGGGAATAGTAGGTGTTGGGTGGTGCTGAAACTGACAATGAAGATAGTGATTAGTGATGACGGGCAGTACTAATTATGGCTAATCTGCAGAATGGCCAAGCCTGAGGGTAGTGTGTATGGCTGATGGTGACAAGTGATGGCAGCTGGAGGACGCCACAATGACCACAGAGATGTCAGACAATGCTGGTGGCAGACAGAGCAAACAAGTGGTGACACAGTAATCTGTTACATGGCTTCTTTGTTATCCCACAGACACATCTGGTTCCAAGCATGCCCCAGTGCTGCAAGGCTCCTGGAGGATAAAACAGGCAGCACAGGAGGTCAAACCTCTCTCTGCAGCTTCAGGCAGACAGTGTGGGGTGAGAAGTGGTGACATGGTGTGGTGTGGCACACCAGCTGACACTTTGGTCCACTCCAGCCCAGCTTCACCTGTGCTCTTAGAAGAGCAAGAAGAAGGCAGAGCCAGCATGGTGGTGCAGGATGTGTTGGACACCCCAGCACAATGGAACAAGCACCCCAAGATCCCACTGAGATCCAGTGTACCAACACCCACCCTGGCACAGGCAGTCCCATGCAGCAGGAGCAGCCCCATGGCAGGAGCACATGGCCCCACAAGCCCTGGGCAGGGCAGCCAGCCAGGAGAAATGAGCGGGTGCAGCCAGGGTGCCAGCACAGCCATCCTGGGGGTGGGGTGCACTGGGTGCTGCATAGCCACTCACAACCCAGCCTGGCCCTGGGCACACTGATGGCATCCCCCACTGCCTGTAGCATCAGCTACAGCAGGCAGAAGGGACAGAGGCACCCCAGGCAGCAGTACCACAGCGTGGTGGCTCATGGATGAAAGCCAGGCTGGCCCCTGGCAAGAGAGGCATTACAGGCAGAAAGAAAAAGGAGAAACATGTCAACTAGCTGTGATAAGAGCAGTCACACAAAGCAGGCGCCACTTGCAGAGCAATATGTTCACTGTCATCAGCCTGGCAGCACAGCAGAGGCCAGCACCTCATGCCCATCAGATTTATTCTCTGCCCGAAGTTAAAGCAGGGCTCAGGTCCAAACAAAGCTGGGGCAGATCAGCCAAAAGCTGCCCAAGCATGAGCACAGTTACTAGCACTCATAAGCTGCAAACAAGTTCCAAGACTGCTGCAGATATCTGAAGCTCTGCAACTCAAGGTCTGCTCACCAAGCCTGCTTAGTTTGGGGCAAGAAAGGCTGGTTTTGAGGCATTTCCCTGGGATGGGTCTCATGGTGGTGCATCCTTTCCCCACGCCTCCTCAGGCTAGTTCTACAGTGACAGAAGTTCCTGATAAACCTTGATGGTAGTTGGGCAGTGAAGCATCACCTGATTGAACCAGGAGCTTTGGAATGGTACAGGAGGGAATGATCCTGCCCAACCAAGATGGGGAACAAAGGATAAGCTATAACTCTTGTTAGCCTTGGTAAATCATTTACCTGAATCGCAGCCCAAGTGAATTGGTACCATTGTTATGAGATCTTTGGAAAAAATGAGTGGTGGCCCAAGTGGAACAGTACCACTGTTACCGGAAGAAACGTCCTGTAGCTTCCAACTCGGATACTGGCCAGGATGGAAACTTACTGGTGACTAAAGCAAATCATCTTGTGACCCTGTAAACGTCAGTGCTAAGTTAAGCTCTCCTGTACCTAAATGGGGCTTATCAGTACCTAATGGCCTACAAGAGAGCTGGAGAGGGACTTTTAGCAAGGATATGCAGTGATAGGACAAAACGGAATGGTTTCCCACTGCCAGAGGTCAGGGATAGATGGGATATTGGGAAGGAATTGCTCCCTTTAAGGGTGGGCAGGCCCTGGCACAGGGTGCCCAGAGAAGCTGTGGCTGCCCCTGGATCCCTGGAAGTGTCCAGGGCCAGGCTGGACAGGGCTTGGAGCAACCTGGGACAGTGGGAAATGTCCCTGCCCATGGCAGGGGTGGAATGAGATGGACTTTAAGGTCCTTTTGAACACAAACCATCCTGTGATTCTATGGTGATGAACAAATTCTGTCCAAATCCCTCCCTAGCAGGGCCCCCCTGCCCAGACTGCAGCAGACCCCGGAGCAGCAGCATCCACCAGACACTGTTCTTGGCACTTTCTTCTCCAAGACATTCCAGGGAGGAAGCTTATGGAGCTGGGAATACCTTGGTGTTCCCATGAGGATGTGGCTGCATCCCAGCTTGTCATAGTTCACAGGGACTTGGAAAGGAGAATGGCAGTGGTAGTACAAACCCAGAGCTGACCTGACAGCTCACACCAGTCCTGGCAGGGAGCACCAGTGAGAGCACAAGTACCAGTGGCACCTGAAGCCCCCATAGCAGCCCATCCAGCAAGTCCCCCAGTTCCACATCCCCACCTACTCAGGATGCTCTCCACTGGCAGTGCTGGGGATGGCAGCATGGCATGGCAGCACAGAACTGCTCCCAGCTGCAGCAGGCATTTTCAGAGGTACATGCTCCACTCTCACTTTCCACCCACTGATTGGACTCTTATCATCAGCCATGAGACTCCGACACACTTTTGTCTCAATTTTGAATTTCCTCTATTTTTAATTTGGGGGATGATGCCATATCTGGTGATGTAGCCCTTGATTAGCACACACACCATCACACACACACACCACATTGCCAGTCTCAATCACACATTTGCTCAGGACCTTTTGTAAATCTTTGGATTCAGACCAACTTTTCTTTTCTTACATTAATTTGTTGTAGTCTGATATTTATAGTTTACTTAAAATAAATGTCTCCTTATGTTTCCTGCTTCCCTCTCCTGAGGTAAGGGTCTCACAGGGTTGCTGCCTGTCTTCTTTCTTTCCTCAAGGTTTTGTGATTTTTTTCTTCTTCCATAAACATTTTTTGAGCAGATTCTACATTTGCCAGATGCTGCTGAACCTTGTCCCAGGTCTTTTCAGTGGTTCTGGTGAGCAAGACACTGGTTCAGATTGAATCAGACATCACAGTGTATAGCAGGCACTGTGCCAAAGGGCCTTCGTGGAAAAACATGCTGGAGGAGGAGGAGGCTAAAGATGAGGAGGGTGAGGAAGAGTGGTCTCTGGATCATGGGAGCCAAGCACAGATGCAGGCCTATCATGCAGACTCACTCCCTTGCAGCACTGGGACATGAGAATGCAGCACCTGGACTCATTGCTCTTGCAGGGAACAGAAGGGGTGGAACATGCCCACCATTGCTACACTGCTTGGGTTGTGAGTGTGGGGCACTTGCAAGCCCCCTCTGCAGGAGGGACCTTCTCCCCAGGGCAGGGTGGATGGTGAGGCTTCATGAAACACTTTGCTCCCACTCAGACCAGCTCTGAGCAGGCTGCTCCTGGGCTGCTCATCAAGTATCTCCAAGGATAGATTCCCACCCCACTCCATCTGAGTGTCTCCAAGGTCAGATTCCCAGTACTCTCCAGGCCCCTACTACAACATTTGAGAACACTCACAGTGGCCTCATGATTTGTCCACGTCTTTGTGGGCTCCTGCTGCTGCCTCTCACTGTCTCTTTGTGTATCTTTGAGAAGCCCCAGGTGTAGTCTCCTGTTTGCTCTTGGATGCACAAATGCCCTGTGCCTGCAGCAAAGAGAGTGCGAGTCCTGACAGAGGATGAAAACCTCCCAGAAACCTCAGCCACTTGGGAGGCAGGCCTGGGGAAGCCAAGGAGGGGGAGCCAGGAATGACCTGAGAGACAAGCAGTCCCCAAACTACTCCCTGGGGCCTTGCAGCATCTTGGGGTGCAAGAGGCAGGGATGTTGGTAGAGCATCCCTGCAGGCAGCAGGAGGACAGAGGGATTAAACCAATGTTTACATGGCCTTTCCTACCCAGCAGCCTCTTGGCAGTTCTCTCCAGTGCTGAGGCCAACGAACCCCGTTTGTTTTGGAAGAGCCATTTGTTTTCCAACCCTCCACTGTGAAGGGAATGCTTTCACTGCAAAAATTATCCTCTCTTCTTATTTCAGACTCTGGGGCTCCATTTGATCCTATCTCCCCAGAGTAGCACACCTGCACACACACGTGCAAGCTCACACTTAGCCCTTCCTGTCATCTGTGAGTAGAATCACACACGGTGGATTTACACACCAGCCCATGTGCTGCATATCCAGACACATTTGTGCAGACCCACACACTGCCACCCACCCACACTGCCCTGTGACCCCTGTGTGAGCTCACACCCTGTCCTGTGACCCCTGTGTGAGCTCACACACTGCCCTGTGACCCCTGTGTGAGCTCACATCCTGTCCTGTGACCTCTGTGTGAGCTCACACAGTGCCCCTCTGCAAGCAGCTTCTATCCCCCAGGAGGGCAGCTCAGGGACCCTTCTTTCAGTCTCCAGAGCACCACTTTGGTGTATAGGGGGGCCCAAGGTAGTTGGAGGACAGCAGCTCACACTCTTCACCTGAGGGTGGCCTGGGTAAGGTGTTGGCAGGGCTGGCTCTGCAGTGCCTTTCTGGACCATGTGTTGTCCAGCATCAGTCCTGTTGCAGGCAGCACTGTGTGGGAAGCCTGGCTGGGAATCCCCAAGAGAGACTGAAGCTCCTCTGTACCCCTGGCACAGATAGAGACCTCTCCTCTCCACCAAGCAGCAGCACCCCACCACCTCACTGCAGGGAAATAAAATCATGGAGTCACAGACTGGTTTGGGTGGGAAGGGATCTTGAATGGTCAACCAGTCCAAAATTCTTCAATAAGCCAGGACACCTTCCACTATCCCAACTCCTCATGCAACCTGCCCTTGGACACTTCCAGGGATGGGGCAGCCACAGCTTCTCTGGGAAACCTGTTCCAGAGCTTCACCACCATTATTGTAAAAAAATACTTCCTAACATCTAATCTAAATCTCCCCACTTTTAATTTAAAGCCACCTCACCTCATCCCATCACTACAAACACTGCTAAAATGTTTGTCCCAACTTTCTTGCAAGTCCCCTTTAGGCACTGGAAGGGACTCTAAAGTCTCTCCAGAGCCTTCTGTTCTCCAGACTGAACAATACCAAACCTCTCAGATTTTCCCCACGGGGGAGATGCTCCAACCTCTGACCACTTTTGATCCCAAAGTATTCATCCATGCAGAATCCTGGATGTAGACTGGCTGCATTCCAGGAGTGTAGCCTGGCTTTCTCCTCCAGACAGCCCCGCAGGCACATCATCTCAATGGGAAGTGCTCCCAGCCAAAAGCACCACATAGGCTGGGGCTGTTTCCTCATGTTTAATCACTGTTGCTTTTTTTTTTGTTGTTGCTGTTCTTCTTTCTTTCCCTTCTGTTTCTTTTTTCTATTTTTTCTTTTTTCCCCCATCTTGTTTTAATTATAATTATGGGTGGTTTTTTTCTTTTCTTATCTTTTTCTTTCCTGCTTTATTGTTTTCTTTCTCCCTTTCCTTTTCTCCTCTCTCTTTTCCTTTCTTTCTCTCCCTCCTCCCTGTTCCAGCTGCATGCAATCCATACAAAGACCATTTGACTTTCCCACACCCATTAATCATTTGCCATCTTGCTCTTTGAGCAGTGTGGGCACACGAGCGCAGCAGCACCACAGGGCTGAACCCCTGGTGGGGTGGGAGGACCCATGGCTGGGAAATGCCAGCAGATGAGTAAAAATCCTCCCAATAACGCTCCTGCAGATTGTATGACAATGGGCTGAATGGAACTGCCTTCTCCAAATGTTCCTGCTGGGAGCAGGGCCACCAGCAGCCAATGCCTTAGCAAAGCAGCCAAAACAACATCCAGTGGGCAGCTCTGCCTACCCTACCTTGCCTGGAGCCAGGAACCAGCATCTAATGGGCAGCTCTACCCATCTTGCCCCAGCACGGCCTCAGCTTGCTGCTGAAAACCATCCAACCCCTGGGGATAAAATATCAGAGAAAAAGAGGCACCTGGGCAAGGTGTGGCCTCAGCTTTAGGGAGAGGGAAAAGGGGGGAAAGTAAATTGAGCTCCTGGGTGCCACATGACATGAGGTTGAGGGTTCTCCCTGCCCAGCTTATCCTAGAGCAGGAAGGGGGCCCCAGGGATGGGCAGAAGATGAATTCTTCTGACAGGAAATGTTGAACAAGAAAGTAGCATAGCAATGGCCAACCAGTATTTTCTAGAGTGTTTCTGGATACAGACTCTGAGGCTCCTAGTGGCAAATGGCATCAGGTGGCTGTGCAGGGCACATCCCAAGTCACATGGCAAAGCAGCTCCAGTGGCCACAGGGTTTGCACCCAGGAGCTCAACCAACCATTCAGGTGCCTTTCTCCCCATCTTCATCAAGCCCTGGTCTTTGCCCAGATCTCACTAGCACACCCCTCCTGGTCAGGAGGCCCTGAGCTGATGTGAAACCACCATTCCAGCTGTAAGAAACAAGATGCACAGGGACAAAATGCCCTGAGTTCCCCAGGCTGCTCACAGCAAGCTGAGGACTGTATCTCCCAGGCATAAGCATGGATTTCTTGGCCATCCTCCATGTCCCTGGAAGCCTCACACAGCCTGGGGGCATTAAACAGGCTTCAGTCCCCTGGGAAAATCAAGAGTCAGCATAGGATAGGATCTGGGAGCAGGGAACCATGGGAGCCAGCTCACATATGAACTTCCCAGACACCTGAGCCACTGTGCAGCAGGATGGCCGTATGGGAGCTGACAGCTCTCCAGCCACTGGCATTGCAGCTGATGTCAGCTGGGGTGAAGCAACACCTCATGGAGCCATGGGGTCAATGTAGCCTCTGACTGGCCCTGAGCACACTCATGGGGACACAGCCAAGAGACAACCTGACACCCTGGGAAATGTCCCCCATGCATGAACCATGGCACTCCTGGTGTGACGGCAGGGACGGGCACAACACTGTCCGTTCCCCTGGGCCCCTGACCCTCCCTGACTTCTACAGCTCCCAGCTCTTTCTCTTCTGGAAAAAGGAGCCTTCAGAAAGGATCCTGGGCATCCAGTTTGGAGGGGAGCTAGAGCCAAGTGCCTGAGGCAGGCCATGAGGAAGCTGAAGTATTTCAGAGCATGGGGGCAGGCCAGCAGGACCTGGCAGGCGATGAGACAGGAGGACAATACAACGGCCCATTTGTGCTCCTCACTCCCGGGCCCCCTGCCCTGCCCCATGCCATAGTTAGGCTGGTATTCAGGAATTAATTGATGTAATTAAAGTGTGGCATGACTTTGCCACAGCATCTGAAGGCAGTGGATGCCAGCCAGGGTCTGTGGGTGGAGGAGGAGCCCCTCACATGCTATTCCCCCCATAGAAAAAGGGCAGATCTTGGGTAGATCTGAGGCATGAAATTTGTATAAAGAGATTGTCAGGGAAGTGTAACCATGCTGGTCTTACTGTCATCAGCAGCTGCAGGGTGAGAATGCGTCCTGCAAGGCTGCTGCATCCCATCCCACCACAGCAGCACCTCTGGCCGGAGGTTGCCAGACCCAGCACCAAAAGGTGTTCTGGGCATGCCCAACCCAGCTGTGCTCCATGGTTGCTCTTTCCTGGTTCTTCATTGCAGCTCTTGAGCATGGACAGAACTTGGGCTGGGGGCTGGGGGCTGCACTGGCAGGTTGGGGACACCTTGCCTCACCATGGACCATGCACCAAAGGACAGGAATGTCTCCAGCCTCCACCTTTCCCTGCCCCAGCTCTCAAAGAAGGCAGAATTCAAGCAGTGACTGTAAAAATATCCCAACAATGGGCACAGAGGGCAAGGGAACAGAGCCTGGCCCTGATTTGTGACTGCTTGCCTGTGTGGGAATAATTTTCCCGCTGGGGTTCCTGTGTCAGAGAGCAGCAGAGCCTGGGGCTAGCCATGGCATGCCAGCTGGAGCCCTCCCAGTTCACTGCCAGCCTGGCAAGTAACAGTAAGCAACCCCCTGTGCTTCCAACAGCTGGAGGAGAATGAACTGGTGCAGCCTAGAGAAAACAGGATTCCACATGGGGGATGCCTTAGAGATGCAAAAGAGGACACAGACATCCAGGCCTCACCTCCCCAAGGGTGCTGGCTCCACAGCCATCCCAGCAGCTTTCTCTAGGTATAGAAGCAGCAGCAGGCACCACATCTCCCCATCTAAGTACTGAGCACATCCATGTCTGCTGGAGGGAGCCGGGGGGCCAGCTGGGGTGCTCCACCACAAGCAACCAGTCAGGCTCTGCTAGCACCATGGTCTGGTTACTGCAGGGTGAAGGAGTCCACTCTGTCCGTATAGCACAATGACAGCATCAGGACAGATCTCTCTTCCCTTCTTGGAGCTCCATAGCTCCTCACACTGCAGCATCTCCTGCATCTACCCTCCTCAGCATGGTCCAGGCAACAACCCAACCAGGCCAGGAGGAGGTACAGACCAGTCAGCTGGGAGATGAACAGCTCAGTGTCAGCATCTCCCCGGAGTCTGCACCCCAGCAGCCCCTGCAGCCTCAAGCAATGGGCTGTACTTTGACTTTCTGGGGAAAGGGACAAATGAGCGTGTGCCAGCTTATTTCAGACAGTCATAGAGAGGTGATGGGTTAGGGTTAGAGCCAGAGTGACATCACCAGCCAGCTGCTCCATCCCATGTGGGCTCTGGAATGGTAGAGCAGGTAGGACATCTACACAGCTCCAGCCACTGGGCTTACTGGGCTGAAGACAAGGCAGAAGAGTGGCCACTGTGGGGAATCCCCTAGCTCCAGAGCAAGAGGAGCCACTGGGCTCCCACCACTGCTCCGCCAGTTTGAAGCAGGACAGAGAGCAAACATGAGCTCAGCCTCCAGAGCAGCTGCTGAAAACCCAAACAAGCCATCCAGCTGCACCACAGAGAGCTGGGACATCCCTCCTTTCCAAACCCAGGGGCTGCTTCTTTGTAAGCCACTGCCAAAGCTGTGCACCAGCTCCTTTGCCTGGAGGAACCACAGCTCTCACACCTTGCACACTCCATCTCCCAGTTGCTCGTCAGACGCTGCAGCTTGGCCCGTGCTCCACAGACTTGGCCAAGCATGCCCATAGCCCTGGGTAAAAAAAATAGCCCTTCCTCCAGGGCTGATGCCTCTGGCCACCACAGCCACCTTTAGCTGGTCTGGCTCTACCACCACATGGCTCAGAGCTTCAGCAAGGTCCAGCCCTGTGGAGGCTGTGGGCTTGGCTGCAAGCCACTGCTTTCCACCACAGCTGGCACAGAGCAGGGCTGAAACAACTCACAAACGAGGAACATGCACAGCTTGGCCTGGCCTGCACATTGGAAACAGAGATAAGCTGCTCCAAAAGCTGAATCCCAGGGAGGTAGTGGAGCAGGAGGAAGAGGACAGTGGACCTGCCATGTGCTGCTGGCAAGGAGACAGCCCTAGCAGATGGCTGATCCCACCTCTGGGTGCTAGGGAGGGGAAGTGAAGTGCCCAACGCCAGTCACAGGATGAAAGGGAGGTCTGCTGGGGTGGGGAGTGCTGTGCCATCTCCTTGTGTCACAGCCAGCCCTGCCAGAGGCCACACGGCCAATCACATCCAGTGATGGTGGCATACATCAGGCAGTAAATCATTAAAGTGCTCTGACTGCTCAGTTAGACCCTGCACTGGAACATCTGGGTACCTCATGCTGCCTGTGACTGCATAAAGGCTGGAGTCAGGCTCTGAGTCTCACCACCCTCTCCCCTGTGCAGATCCTTGTGCTTTGCCCCAGGGAGAGAGCCCTTCAGCTCATTATCATTTTCTAAGCAACCAGTCTTGCAAGTGCAGCTTGGAGCAGAGCATCTGCTGGATTATGTCTGCAGCCCTGAATCTTTGGAAACTGCTGAAGCAGGCAAAGTCCCCTTGAATGCATCCCCAGAGAAGATGGCTGAGTGAGTGGTTTGAGCAAGACTTTTGCTTTATTCCACTGACTCACTGGGTGGCCTTGAATCACTTCCCTCCTCCTGTGCTTCCATGTGGAAAGTGCCAGCCAGGGCAGCTGCTGCTCCCTGGGTACCAGGTGGATGTACCTGGCTGGATGCAGGACAGGCAACCAGGGCACAGCATGTTGGAAAGGGGCTCTCAGCTCCCTCAGGACCCTGAGGAACAGACATCCCTGCTAACAGGCCCAGGGTAAAGCAGCCTGACCCTCCAGCAGTACCCAGCCAGCCACTGCAGGCACAGAATGGACAACACCTCATGTGCCACCAAAGAGGTTTACTCACTCTCTCCCTTGTGTCCCTTTCTGCCATCCCTACATCATTGGAGCCCATCTTGGCCTTGGACAACCTCATGCTCCATCAGGCCAGGTCAGATAGGGTTCCTTTGCCCACCTTCCTAGTGCCAACTGAAAAGGCTCAAATCAAACACAGCAGAAGTATCCCCAGGATTTCAGATCCTTTGTGAAAATAGAGTCTTGATACTAGAAACAAAGCTATAAATGTTCTGGACTATCATGATGACTCAATGCTGCTAATGCTGCACAAGCTCTGCATCTTGTGGGTTTGCACAAGTACAGATGCACAGCACCCAAGGACCTGCACCTACAGACCTGCAGGATATTGTTCCCACTGGGCTGGGCAATTGCACCCATCAGGGATTTGTGGTAGGGATCATCAGGTTTCTGGAAGAACTTCCAGAAGAGTGCCCTCTGGGATATTATGAGGGAATAAAGTGAAGGTAAGAAATGCAGGAACTGGTCAGAAATGTGGACAGGTGCCCCAGGCCAGAGCAGGTTGAGAAGTGCAAGGGGCAGCATTGCAGTTGTTTGGAGAACAAGGGTCAGTCCATGAGCACAAATTCTGCCTTTGCTTGAAGAGAAAATTGTGACAGGAAGAGGCAAGTCAGGTATGGAGATCAGCAAGAGTGGGAACATAAAGAGCAAGCTTGGAGCACCCTGGCCAGCACCTCCACCATGTACAGCCTTCCCACATGGGCACTGTTCCCCTCTGCAGGGTATTGAGGCGCCTCAGGTGCACAGCCAAGTGCCAGACCCCCCAGAGTGCACAATGAAGAGCCACAGAGACAGAGAGAGGAAAAAATACATGCACCAGAACACAGGTATCTTCTACAGAAAATGCACCTACTGGGGTCCCAGGGGGGGAAACACAATGGGGAGAGACCTGCCAAAGGTAGCACACAGTGGTCTCAGCTCTGTCCAGCTCTGTCTCCAGAGCTGCAGAGGGATCACCTCTCCTCTGCCCCAGACTCTGCTGTGGCCCTGGACATATCAGCCCCAGTGCCAGTGAGGACATTCTGCAGGCCATGGCAGCCAGGCTCTCTGCCAGGCAGCTCCTGGTGCAGTCATGTCATGGCAGAGCCCAGTGAAGGCACTGGGGCTCTTCCTGGGGCTCCACAGGAGCCACCTCCAGCCAACCCACTCCCACCTGTTCCCTTCCATTCCCAGCTGGCTCCAGGCAAGGTGGGGATGAGTGTGCACTGGGTGGGCAGCTTTGCCCTCCTGCCTGAGTGGGCAGGGTCAGAGCACTCTGTTTCTGCTCCCGATCCAGCATCCAGCTCCCATACCAGAAATGGAGAGAAAGTCCAAGGCCCTGGCTTGTCACCTGTTTAATAGGCACAGCAAAAGGAAATTTATAAACCCAGTTCACTTGTTATGAATAAAAACTCTCTCAAGAAATCCAGCCCAGGTAAAATACTGTAGATGTTCTATTGTGTACAGTTAATGTTCTTGTCCCATTTGTAAATTGTTCCCAATGGTTGCTGACCATGGTTCATATGACCTTGTTCATTGTACCCCTTTTTTACACAGATAGTTGTTAGTAATGTTAATTACTTACCTGTTGTTTTAAGAGTTCTCTTATAAGATGTACCTCTACCCCCTTTCCCCTACTTCCCTGTTACTATGGAACAACCCGAACAACCCTGCTCCCTACACTCCTACCTCCCTTCCCGTCGGGAATCGCTGCTGCTGCTCCCAGAGGGCCCCGAGGCATACACAAACTAAGGCCAGACACCAAAACAACGAGCTAACAAAGGAATAAAAGGCCAAAGAGACATATCCTAGCAAGCTACCAAGGAAGACTGTTTTCCTGCATCACCTGAGCCTGTTTAAAGGTGTTGCCATGACCACAGAGGACTGGAAAAGACTGACCCCCCTGGACAATGAGCCAGAACCACAGGCCTCCTGGCTACTCCCATGAGGATGGAGGTCCCAGCTCTGCAGGGTGTGCTGCAAAGCTGAATTGTGTCTCCTCCTTGGAGATGCCAGTGGGGGAGCAGCAGCGGTGCGAGCAACCCCTCGGGCCCCCACCCCAAGGCTGAATTCTAATAAAGGCATAAAACAGGAGTCCATCTCCTGGTCCATTTGTTTTACACTTATCTAAATGGATTTGCATTTGGTGTCCCTTTCAATATGGGCAATGAAAACAGACTTCTTAATATCATATGCTATAATTTTACTAATAAAAACAGACCACAGTTGCCAAATACCTCTGACCATCTTAAAAGTACTCTGTGAATTAAAGTGACACTGCCAAATTTGAAGGGAAGTTCTTAGTTTAGAAGCTAGCCTGCATCAGTTAGACACAGGACAGCAGCAGAGATGAGAGGCCAAGTACCCCAGTGTGCTTCTGCACACAGCTCTGCTTGCACACATCTGCTTGCACACATATCTGGCCTCACCACTGCTTCTCCAGCAGCAGCACCCTTGGCTGCCGAGCAATGTCCTGGGCCTACTCCCACAGCACACCTGCCTGGGAGAGCCAGGCTCCCACAGGAGCCGGGAATGGAGCTGCAGGAAGCCGCAGCAACACTGCAGGCTGCAGCTGGCCATGCAGGGAGCAGCACGCCTCACCAGCAGCCAGCGCCTTGCTGCGCTCTCCCACGGCTGCACAGCTCCCTGGGACAATCCCACCTGTGCGAAAACCCAGAGAGTGAGATCACCTCGGGGATCAGCCAGATGCTGAGGTGAGTTCACAGCACAGAGCTGGGAGCCCTCAAGTTGAATCAGAGTGACCTGCACTCAGGTGGCAGCCAGCAACTCTCCAGCTCCAAGCATCTCCTCCAATGTGGCTGCCTGCAGTGAGACACCCGCAAAGGAGAGCAACCCTCAGGCTGCTCCTGCCATCACCAGCTGCTCCAGAGCTTGGCCCACAGGGGTGTGGATCAGGGTATCAGGACCTTGCTTTTCGGAGAGAATGAGGACCCAGCAGCTGGGACAGTTACAAAGCCTGTCCCTGCTGAGTCACTGGCTGATGCTGACTAACAATACAGGCAGTTATCAAAAAAAGCATTTGTTGAAAGGGATAAGTATGATTGTTCTTGTCACCATCTGCCTAAACCTGTCTGCATACCTTCATGCCATGTCAACACAGTCCCCAAGGCTTGGAAAGGCTCCCACTTCCCTAAAGTCAGCAGTTTGGAGGGCTGCTTTGAGGAGTCCCAGCTTCCACTCAGCATGCAGGAATATGCAGGAGACCAGCCATCACTGCTGCTGGCCTTGTCCCAGGGAGTGGGGACCTCTGTGCTGGCTAGAGATGCCAAACTCTCTGCATTCCAGGGCTCCCTGTCTCAGCTTCTCACAAAGAGGTCTGAAATTGGGAGAGGTGAATCATCCTCTTCTTTGCCCTTAGGGCAAAGCTGGCCAAGAGTTTTCTGTCACTGTAATTTTCCTAAAGGAAAATCCACTTGTGTCCAGCCACGCTTCTCAGCTCTGTGACCTTTAAGACTGACTGTCTGCTGGGAAAGCAGGAAACAAACAGATTTGTTTGGATCAGTTTGATCCAACTCGAAATATTTTTGATTGTTGTCCTGATCCAAAGTATTTCATCTCAGATCAGTTCCACATTAATCTGTAATTCCCTGGCAGGCTCCACTGCCAGCAGCAGAGTGGCTGGGATGCTGCTCCCTCCTGAGGCCCTGCTCCTATGCCAGGGTGGATCTCTGTGGCTGTCCTGACCAGCCCTGGCCAGGCGTGCTGTGAGGGTCTCAGAGAGCTCAGCAGGAGCATTTCTTCAGGAGGTGCAGGTTTGTGACAGCCACCTCATGATGTCCCTGTGCACTTCAGTGCCTACATCTGTGCACTAGCTGAGGATTTGGCCTATGGAGCATCAGGCTCCAGAGCTCAGCAGAAGGCTTCTCTGAAGCAGCTCCTCACTGTCCTCTCTGTACCTTTTTTTTTTTTGCTTCTCTCCATTTCTCCCTAGGAAATTCCATTTATTCCTAGATCTTTGTCTTTTAACACTGTACCCCTGCCCTGCTCATAATGCTGTGTGTGAGCACAGGGCAACCTGAGCCCTGCATGACCAGACAAAAAACTTTTGCTGTCTCTTGCTGCCTGGCTGTCTCATTAGTGTATGGCAGTCAATTCATAACACAAAGCCATAGTGGGGGAAGAAAAGCAAGGGCACCATGTCAGGATGGACAGCAAACAGAGGCTGCAGACAGCTCCTGGCTTGTCCCATGCCAGCTCCCCTGGGCAAGCCCAGCTCCAGGCAGATGCACCCTCAGTGCAGAAGGTGTTGATGGAACCATGGGCCTGCGTGGAGCCTGCCCACAGGCAGCTGCATCTGAGACAGAGCAGAGCTGCTGTGACCAAGGGAAACCTCTGCCTGCAGGCAGACTCCAGGCAGGGTCAGGTCCTGATGTAACACGAACATGGAGTGCCACATGGCACAATTGTGCTATCCCTCTATTTCAATCCTGGGTGCCCTCAGCCACAAGCAGAAAGGGTTTGTAAAGCATAAGGATCCTGTCCTTCCCCTTGTGGGCATGCACCTTCAGGTGTGCACACTCAGAGCGCTGGCCTGCAGCAGGCTCAGCCCCAAGGGTGCCTCTGTTGGATGGGAATTCTGCCCTGAAATCACAAAGGAGGCTTCCAGCATCACTCATCTCACTGCCATTTGCTGCAGAAGTTTATCCATGCACCAAAACATCCCAGCCAGTCTCAGTAGCATTATCTGGAGGGTGAGAAGGGGCAATCCAGTGAACCTCTATACTACTATTACAGTCTTTCCCTACCTATTTCAGAGCAACTGCAGGGGATATAGCAGCCAGCTCACGCACGTCCTCAGGGAAGGGAAGCAGGAGGCATGCTGAAGCTGGGGTCAAGTTACAACAGTGGACTTGGGTGGAGGGAAGGTGTGCAAGGATCCTGATGAATACCATGAACCTCTGTGGTCCAGCACAGCATGGAATCCACAGCCAGGATAGTGTTTTCAGAGGGAGAACCTGCAACTTACCTCAGCATCTCTGTTTCCAACTGTCCTGCAAAATGGTTTCATCCACAGATAGTTTTTGCTATGGCAGACTGGTGTACACACAGGCTCCAAGAAAGATTTTAGGGTTGGTTCTGCAGCTCATAGTGTCTGTGTGTTTCAGCCTGCATGACAGGAATAAGACACACACTATCATCTCAAGTAGCCAAGCGTCTCAGCAGCAGCATTAGGAAAGCAACATCTGGTTGCTTGAGATTGTGCTCCATGGACCCTGGGCATATCTTTGCTGTCTTGTTTCTAAAGTGCTCCTGGTCTCCAGGCCAGGTCCCACACAGGGCTACAGAACACATATCTCACACACCAATAATTTATCACTTGAGTTCCCAGCTCCCTGAATGCACTTCCTGGTGAAAGACTCTCTGCACTTCTCCTCTTTAAGTCTGAATACAAGACTACCTGCCACAGCAGCAGAGCATCACCCCTCACCTACAGACCACAGGTGCCATGCCACCCCAGTACCAAAAGATCCTCCCCGCAGGGGGGAATTCTTACTGCATAGCATGCTTGAGGGTGGAAGGGACCTCCTTGTACAACCCACTCAGGGAGGAGGGAGACCCACATGGAAAACACAAGGCTCCAGGGCCAGGCTATTCTGAAGTGGCCAGGGGCAACCACCACGAAACAGTGCTGACATGCTCACGCATTTTTGCTGCTTGGCACATTGCTGCCAGCTGCCATCCATGACTGCATGGGTGCTGCAATCAGTTGGAAATGTATGGAATACTGCAGCCTTGAGTTGGCTTCCCAAACAGCTGTGTGACTGCAATGCATGGAGCTGATGTGCAGAAACTCATGCCAAGAACTGCACAAGGAGCCAGACAGCTCACAGACAGCATTGGCATGACAGGAACCATCTCCATCTACCACTGGCAGCATATCTGCTCTCATGGTGTCACAGCACCAGGGAGGCTGCAGGAGGGAAATGAAGGATGGGGCAGAAGGGCAATGGATGTTACAGAGGGGTGGAAAAATCAGAACCATTGAATATCATTAATTGGAAAGGGACCCACGAAGATCATCAAGTCCAACTCTTGGCCCTGCACAGGACAACCTAAAGAATCTCACTATGTGCCATGAGAAGAACTGGGAAAGAGAGACTGACAGTGTAATTTGCCATGATTGAAAACAAGAAGCCATTATTTCTGGTAATGTAAAAATAAGGTCTTTCAGTTCTTCATCTTTGCTACTTCCGAGGGCTTCTGTGATGAGGATTCAGAAGTACGAGACAGTCCAAAGAAAAAGCAGCTGTATCCAAACTTCAGGTCCCAGAAACATATTTCATCACCAGTGTTTTGTGGGAATCAAATCACATCACAGCTCCACAGCAGGATAATAGTAATCTGTCCCACTTGATGCCAAAGTCAGTCAGTCCAGGCAGTAGAAGCTGAGCTGTCAAGCATT